AAATTTTAGTCTGAAACAAAAGAAGTTGAAATATTTGTGGTATTCGTCTTCAGTTTCCATCCAAACTTTGTCACCGCCGACGATCGTTCATTTGCGGTACATTGCATTTTCCAACAACAGTCCTTCAAGGTCGCAACCAAATTCAATTTCATAGCGTATGTTAATTTTATTTTGCAAATTTTATTATTTCAATATTGGGAAAAGAAAGAAAAACAAATTAAAATTTCTCCTTATGCCTACTTTTTTTCTTTTGCATTATCTCTTTTTCCAAGAAGTAATTTGTCGTTTTCTTAAACATTTATAAATCCTTTATGATTGAATTTCTTAATTTATTCCACTTTTTCATTGACAAAAGCATTTTACTGTCAACTTTATTTTAACCTATTGTCAAAATGTAAACATGAAAAAAGTAAGTAATAGGATGAAACAGTAAACATTTTCAATGATTATTGATTTGGGCAAATAGTATTGATTTTACATTAATACTTATTACTGCCAATTCAAACAATAAAGTTGCGAAAATTTTAAATATACTAATACAAAAGTAAAGAATTATACAAGTATGCAAATCAAAAGAAACAGAAGCAAAGCTATTTTTAACTAAAATATAATTCGAAAATTTGCTTTTTTGAAATTATTAGTATTGCAGAGAAAAGAGTACAAGTGGTACAGTCAGTGGAACAGCTGACATGCCATTCGTGAATCTAACTGTTGTTCAGGGACATCTACCGAATCCAAATATGAAATCAGCAAGAGTAGTCTCTGTTGGTGATCCATTGATGTACATTTGGCATTTGAACTCTAAAGACGGTGAATTAAATTATTAATAAATGGCATAATTAAAGGACAAGTCAAAAAAAAAAAGTGTAATTGTGAGTGAAAGATTTCCATTTATTAAGAAAGAAAAATGTGAAAAATGAAAAAAAATATATAGAAAACGTACTATATGGAATTTCCAATTGATTAATTATCATTCTCACAGGGATTTATGGCATTTGGGTAAAGGAATGTTCAGCGGAAGCGGAAGATGGCCGTAAGATGGAAATAATCGAAAACGGTTGCTCTTTGGATTCTGTTATCGTATCCAATGTGCAGTATCCAGAGAATAATCTTAAGGTATTATTAGTAACAACCTATGAATGCTCATAAATTACGGAAAGCAAAAAGAGCTGTTAATTAGATTCGTACCTATGAGTGAACGATGATAATTGTGAATGAACATTTTGCAATTCCGGATTCCGGTCTCTGATCACATTACTGGTTAGTCCCGATCATACTTTAACCACATTCTTGGTAATTTAGGTTACATTAATTTTGAGTAAACTAGAACTTTAAAAATTCTTGACATCTTGCTGCACATATATATATTTGGGATTTAAATAAAAAGTTCAAATATGAAAATTCCATAAGCCATGCTGATATAGAAGTTCGTGTTTGAAAAAATTTAAAGGTATGGACAGATAAGCAGATAAGGTTTTCAAGGACACATTATATTGCATCTTGAAACGACTTGTAACGAAAAAAAGAAAAAAAACATGCAAAAAAAGAAAAAATTGGTTAATAAACGAGATAAAGAGAATGGATTTGAAATTCGAACAAATTAATTGAAATATTTTAAGAAAATCACCGACATTTAT